TATGAAGAAACTGTATGTGTTGTCATTGAAGGGCCTAGTGACTGGGGATCCAATTTTAGAAGCTAAACAGGACTGCTATCAGAGAAGAACTAATGATTTGCTTCTATGTGATTGACTGATTGATGTTCTCAAAACTCAGTGAGAGACAAAGAGGGGAAAAGAGACAAAAAAAGACACTTTCACTTGATGGCTACCGCAGTGTCTTTAGCATAAGCTTGGCCTGTTTAATATATTTAGCAACTAGCATAGGGCTCTTATACCAACCATCTGTGTGTCGCTGCGAGGTAGAGTACAGCAGGCTGCAATTTACCACATACGGCTTTTAATAATTCATAATGCATTTCTCCCTCTGTCTGTTTCCACACCTCTGCCTTCTGTGGTGTGAAATGAAATTGGGGCTCGTTAGCCAAGCCGGCTGGATCTCCCATTACATGACATGTCAGGGAGGGACGGAGACTTCATGTCAGTGACTGGAGACTTTTTTATCTTTCGCTCACTTAAGATACTACTGGATTCACTTAGTGTCAAATTTTTTATTAAGGGCCAAAATTTGTCCTATGGAATTGATTTTCAGTTACTTTTTTTTTTTTTATATATAACATGTTAATTTATGTCAAATACTACAGTTTATTATAATTTTTTTAATGGTCACTGCAGTGTCTCAACTCATAACTATATAAGCCTAGTGTAAAATTATATGAAATTTGTTAAATGTCACAACATAAAACTAATTTAAAAAAAAGTATTTATTATGGGATCACATCTGGAGAATTTTTATTACTTTCAGTGGCATTTTTTGCACAGACTCCTAGTTAATTTCTGGCCCTGGGTTCTTTATGCATGAGAATGTGCATTAATGAAGATGGGACAAGCAGGACAATCACTTAGGAACAGGCTTATGATTTGTCATGCCATCTACCATCTACATAGACAGCTGATTTCTAAAACTGAAAACCTAACTGCATATGAACTTTATAAGTCATTCGGAGACACATTTTCAGTGGTGAAATGGATTTTTCCATATAAATAAATGTCCAGAAAAAGCACGTACCAAAAAAGCATGTAAGTCATGCAAATCTTTTATCAATTTCCTTTTGGCTAAGTCTAGCAAGCTAAATTTTTAAGATAGTTTCCCAGAAGCTATTGACCTCAGGGAAGGTCACCACCATAATAGAAATGTACCAAGTGGTTATCGGGAACAAAACTGGTAGTTTGAAGAGGAAGTACTTTTCTTCTGGTGTGAATAAAATCTACGAATATAATTAATAATTTGATTATTCTGATTTCTAGAGACTGCAGCAATATTATCCTTCTAGTTGTTATCCTTATGAATATTTCAGGTAATTACATAAAGTCAATTAAAGCATTTACAGAGGTGTATAAGAACTTTTAGAGGGGTATTTTATCATATCACTTCGAAATCTAGTCAATGTAGAGCCAGTTTGGTTCACCAACATACTCCTACTACATTTTATATTCAGTCATTTTCAACTGATATTTTTCTGAATTGATTTATTGATTTTTTCCCCCTGCTTAGCTCATTGCAATACATTCTGGAACTGCTTTATATGAGAAGGTCATATGCCATTCTGCAAACCAAAATTAATGCCTTAAAGTGTTTTCTAGGTAGGCAGCTTACTAGTTTTTATATTAAGTGTCGTTAACTACTATGTAACTTATATTTAAATCATTTGTTTAATACAATGTACTTATTGTGTACATACATGTTTACATCATTCTTATAAAATAACTGCACGCAATTAGAGCTGTAATTAATTTCTGTAAACACATCTATAATTACACTGTTGGCCCTACCCCTTCCTATTAACCAACACTTAAACATAACCATACGATCAAATATGTCCCTAACCTTAATCATATCCCACCGCAATAGCAGCACTCAACATGAACACACCATGTACACTATACCTAACTTTTTCTTTCCCTTGACTTAAGTACATTGTAGTTAAAGACACCTAATATGAGGAGGGACTATTTTTTTTAAATATAACTATTGTGAGCAGAACGACAGGGGGTCAAACTTAAGAAGCATTTATATTTCTACAAGGAGCCATGCTATACTAGCTGTGGTCTAGAAATCTAGTATCCCTTACCTGAGGAAGACCACTGTA